TTACAGATACTGAGCCACAAGTTGATGTGGTAGTACTAGTAGCCGTGAGGGATCCATTCATACTATAAGCACCAAACATTGCGCAACATGTTTGCTACTCACTGTGGCATTAACTTAAGAGTCAACACAGTCTGTTTAGCAATGCAATTCATGAACTACTTAACAGAATTTTGTAAAATCAATAAAAGTAAACATTGGATGTACATGTACTAGGCAAATCAATTAATTCAAGACGGCTGCCACAGTTAATAAACCTTAGCCAAAACAAAAATAGCTCGAACTTAAGTTTAAATTACAGCTCAAGCTAAATTTGGTGTGATAGCATCACTGGTTATACCTACATATACTGAGTGCTAACCTGTCATTAGATCTATTGCATTACAAGATTTGACCAAAAGATACAACTGTCTCTTTTCATCTTAAATTAATTTTGTTTAACACTGGTATAAAACGCAGAAGAGGATGTACACTGCTTTAAGGAATGTCAAGCCTTTCATTTATAAGAATTAAAGACTTGAGAATATTGTTGTGTTCATAATTTATATAAAGGAAATGCAAAGATGGCCTAAATAGCACAGTGGTATGCAAACACAAACACAGAGCTGGAAGGTGGCTGGTTGGAAAGTAAATAAACCGGTTCAATTCTAGACTTTCCCCTCCACACAAACACACAAGCACAATGCAACAACCTTGCAGCGGTTACATTTACGCACACGTTAAACCTGAGGGCGCCTTTCAATTTAAAAGAACTTTTCCAAGCAAAAATTTACAAGCGCCTCCGTTTGAGCTCCTTAATGAAATCTGTGCGTTCAGTGTGGAGACAGAACGAGCAGAAGAAGTCAACTAAGGGTCTGCGCAGGCCACCGTTTCTTTACTACGAGTGCTGCATGTGTTATCAATAAACCCAGACACCGACTGCAAGAACCCCAGCTCAGCAGATAGTGGTGGACGATGATGCCTCAGCTGCAAACACTTAGAAACAGCAGCGATATGAGGCAGACACTCACACCACGACAGCACCACTTTATAATTCTAATACCACAACTTTTATGTGCTTTAAAATGTACTTTTGAGCTGATCTGCACGATTAGAACCGAGGCCGCTCCAGCCTCTTCTGAAAGCAGATTTGTTCCCGTCTAATGCTTGTGGTCGTTTCGGCAGATAAAAAATAGCCAACGTGCACTCCATTAAAAACAAATCTGAAGAGAATAACAAGCGAGTGGCATGCATTTATCTGCGAGGCTAACAAAACGTGTAAACAGCAGCCAACAGCTCTAAGCAGTAAACCGTGACTGGTTGGATTCTGACATATTTCAGCTTTATCAGCCATGACTGGAGTGACGTGTTAGTCAAATTTGTGCACAAGCCACAGGAAGATATGTGCCACAACAGACGGTCTCACCACAACTCATGAGTGAAACGGTTAAAGTGCAAATGACACCTCCGCAGTTGTAGTAAGGTAGACACAATTATTTTCATGCACATGAGCTGTTATTTCAGTTGAGTAATGCAACACTCCATGTACAGCTAATTGTAATACAAGTGAGCAGAACATGCTCGCAACAAAAAACTAGCTTGTAAAAAATCCATAGCATGCAGCGTCTTGAATAAGAGCGCTCCTGTGGCCTGATGCACCCGTCGTACTGTGAAGACAGGATAGAATTTCTGATCAAATACCATCCTAAAAATATTTAGGACTACTCCTTGAATAATAAATAAATAAAAGCCAAGCAAAAACGAACTCCTGGAACTTGTTCATCAACATGCTTCGAACACCGACAGCTTTCTCTGCTTCAACCAGATTTAGTTGCATTGTTTTTTAATCTGGTTGTGGCATTTTACCAGCCGTTTCCGACATGTATCGTATGGCTTTACGTATTATTTAATCTGAGAAGATCGCCTCATCGCTCCAGTTATTCTTAAACAATTATTTATAGTTTTTTCTCCAACTACACATTCTTACAAAATGCTGAAACATCCATTCCGCACCACTAGAGGGCAAGAACGCTCACACTAACGTTATATTAAAATACAGAGAAAGAGCAAGCTCAGCTTTGTTAAAAGTTTCTCCTGAACGGTTTTATCCTTTTATTTTTATTTATTTATTCATAATTATTGTTTCTTCTTGCGGCTGCTCCCTTCTTCAGGTCACACAATGAACTCGAACGAAGACTTGTCAATTGTTTTTACACTGGCTGTCCTTCCTGACACAACCACTGACCCCCGAGCCACCACAGCCCTGTGTGTGGAGCAGAGAGCTCACATCGAGGGCGCCTGGGGGAGAAGATGGTGGGAGTTAAGGGCCTTGCTCATGGGCCAGAGTGGGGAAAATAAGGATGGAGGCAGGTGTGGGCGTTTCACCTTTCCCACCTTCATTTTGATGGCCGTCTGGTGACCTTCCGATCACAAGCTCCCCTTGTGTACCTTCTGCGCCACCACTGCCCCATTTTATCTTTTTATACTGCTTAAATTACTTGTGAAATAGAGTTTGAATGAGGCTGCAGCTGGCGACTCAAAATTGTGAGAAAACTTGGACGTTTCCAGTGCTTTAAAACCTGGTGACCACAGATCCATATGGCCTCGCTTTGAGCAGACATTTTTGAAAATCGTGGCTTATTTTTGTGTCCATGGCTCGTGGCTGCCTTCTTGGCCTTGCACCATATTTGCCGTGTACCTCTCTCTACACCACGTCTGGCTTGGCTCAAATTTATAACTTTGGCAGCTGCCCCCAACATTATGACTTAATTTACTGGAGTAGACTTTGGAAGAAGACGGGCACAATTAGACCAGTTTAATGTTTACATTCTGAACATGTGTTTTTTTCCAACCTGGACATTTGCCTCCCATCGTTTCTGTCGGAGAGCTTCCGTAACTTTAGCGCTCTTCAGTCAAGTTGGAGATGCCCACTACAAAATTCAGGTGGGTTCAAAAGGGCCTTGAGATAAATTCTGTTCAAAAACTCAGAGCTGCACACCTCTGCAACTCGTGCATGGAAAATTGTGAATCCCAGTGAGGACACTCTGGAGACTCCCTCATGAATGCTGCCACAGTCCGGTAAGATACCACTTTTATTAACATTTTCAGCACAACATCAAAGTTTAATGATAACAGCATCAGGAAGAAGTGAAACAGACCAGAACAAACGTGGAAAATCATCTTTAGTGTATTGTTTTGGTTTTCTGCTGCCTCATTGTTCCTGAGAAGCTCATTTTCCCAGTTCACCTTTTTGACTTTTTGTTGTTTTTTCCCAATGAAAACTCAAATTATGTGTCGGCGAGAGATGCAGTGGAAAATCTCAGTATTAAATATATCTGGATTAGTGTAGACGATGCCTAATTAATCTGACGCACGTTAAAGGGGTGAGGGGAATCAGAGTGTTTGTGTCACTAATTCAATAAGTATTATTGTAAACAAGTATATCTTTCTTTACACGTGTTTTCGCAGCATCTGAGCCAAATCAAGGAGAAAACACTTGAGTTGAAGATTCTGTTCTCCGTACACAATTTACAACCGCGCCAATCCGCAAACATTATGTTGAAAACAACACGTCAGCTGTTGTTTTAACGTATTTCTCAAAGTGGCAGGTTATGAGAAAAATGTAGCTCCATAAGAATAAAGCGTCACGAAAGGATCTGCAGCTCGTCTCACATTCAGTGGGAAAGAAAAGGCATCTTCTGCTGAAGCAAAAGGCGTTTACTGGAAACTATGGAATTAAGTGGCAATCATTTTTATAATTTAAATTATTTTATTCATTTATTATCAATATGAATCAATTCATTAATTATCGTTCAATAATTGTTTAACAGTTCTGAAAACAGTATTTCAGCTTCTTTTACCCATTATTATTTACTCACCAGGACGCACTTGGCACGTTAACGTCACGTCTTGAGACGATGCATGTAAAACCTTCATCTTCATTTATTTTTGTGGCCTACTTCGTCTTCCTCCTTTAATTTCCCACTATCTGATTTGGAGCCTTGAAAAAGAACCATTTCTACATGAATGTGGTTCAACTCTAAAGGTTTACATTCCTGGAGCCACTGACGCTGCCCATCGTGTGTGATCAGAAGGGCACAGCTTAATTTATAGTTCAATGAAATTAACTTCGTCGTCTTGGAAGCTTTTAAGCAGCACATCATGTTTGTTACATCACCAGCTGTTTGACTTGTGCATAAAAATTACTACTTTGAATTTAATGCGACGAGGTCGAGGTCATGCCATTTTAAAGCATGAAAACACCAAAACTAAATTAAATTTATGGTGGGGAAACATATTTTTCATTGCTGTTTATTTACTAGTGCTGTAGGTTCAACTTGCTGCTGCTCAACACCAACAGTATTTAAAAACAACATAAATATGGCTAACGGACAGGAAATCGTCACCTGGTATTTATTTATATTTATTATCTGCCTGAATATGGTGAATATTATGAGGGAGTGATGGTGCAGAGGTTAGAGAAGGTGGGCCTGTGATGGGAAGGTCGCTGGTACGACTCCCTGGACCGACAACATGAAAATGTGGGTGGAAAGGGTGAAACACCCACACCTGCCTCCTACCCCACTCTGGGCCCTTGAGCAAGGCCCTTACCCCCATCATCTTCTCCCCCAGGCGTCCTAGATGCAGCTCTCTGCTCCACACAGAGGGCTGTGGTAGCGCGGTGTCTGTGGTTGTGTCAGGAAGGACATCCAGCGTAAAAACAATCACCAACTGTTCGTACGAGATAATTTTCTGTGGCAACCTCTGAAGAAGAGAGCAGCCGAAAGAAAGAAGAAACTAAAATCTGCCTGAATCCCGAGCAGTCGTAAAGTAATTATTTTGTCAAATGCACAGTGAGCGCAGAACCCTTGAATGAAAGTGTTAGTTTAAGAGCGTTAAAGTGTAGCTCTGCGCGTCCGCTCAGGTCCCTGCGCTGCGTCAGGTCACGTCGCAGCCAAACACCAACAACACGGACAAGAAGAAGAGAATCTGAAGAACTACGACACAGAACCGGTCCAGCGTACCTCTTGTTGATGGGCTTCTCGTGCTTCTCGTAGGGTTTGACGAACCACTTGCCGATGCGAACAAAGCTGCGGTTCATGAGGCAGCGCTCCAGCAAGTTGTGGATGGCTTTGAACAGCAGAGTGCGACACTCGTAGGAAAGGCCGTTCTCCCACTGACCATCGTCCTCGGCTAGAAAACAGAAAGAGACGGGTTCAGACGTGTGAGCAGAGAGGAGCTTTCAAGGTTTTCAGCCCCACTTTTAAAAGCACACCACTGAGAAGTGACTGGCCAAACAACGTCAAGGCTGGGAGCGCTCCAAAACTGCAGGAAAAGGCTGCACGTGATCAGATGGCACTAACGAGGCCATTCATCAGCGTTTACAAGACGACATACGGGAGCGCCAACTGTCATCTGAAGCCTATTGTCACATTTGTATTGTAGCAAGATGTAATACGAGTTTACAACCCAGCATTATCCTGTTCAGATTAAAAAGTCACACATGAAAAAGATTAAATTAGTTGAATTTCTCCATCAGTGCACAACTACCAGTTTGTTGAATTTATAAACACCGATAAATCAATTATATGCCTACATTTGAAACCTACTTCTGTAAATAACTGAGTTCTTGTCCTGATGCATGCTCAATAATCCAGGTAGAAACATCTAAAAAAGTTCACAAAACAAAACAAGCAAACAAACAAAAAGATAAGCTAATTAAGCTACTATTATTTATGGTTAAAATAAATTGTGTGTCTAAATATTCTAAATACGTGGTCCCAAAAGGACCACGTATTTTTTGTTTGTTTTTTTTTGAACGTCCAGAGAACCAGTTAACTTTTTTAGAACTGAGTACTTGGTTAACACGGCTGTGAATAGTCGGCATAACAACTACCACAACGTTTATGAATTTATCTCAACGCTTGTTTCCTCAATGTTTCAACAGGAATGACAGGATTTTCTCTCAACCTTTACAACTCCTCACATGCATCCATCAAGTTCCAGTCTGAGCTACCGTTTTAAACGTTCGTGGTAGAAAGATCTGATTTCCCCAACAGTTCCGCTCATTTTTCTCCTGGTGCTTTGCGGTTTTAGGAAATTGTGTTTTAGGTAAAATCCTTAAAGAAAACGTGTTAACCTCGTTTTGCCACAGTTTTGTTCATGTAGCAGGGAAACACCACCTGATGGATATCTACTTTACCCGTGTGTGGAAACTAGCACCTGCGTGTGCCAGCGTGCTGCCTTCACTGTATCAATTAACGCATTTAAGCATATTTCACATTTTAGAACTTAATTGTTGTCGTTTTTTAATATATTTTTTATATTCTCTGTTATTTTTTATATCTTGTGATTCCTTGTGTATGTTCCTTTGTACTGAAACTCTGGCACAACAATTTCCTGCGGGATCAATAAAGTTCTATCTTGTTTCATTATGTGGAAAATGTTAACAGTTAAATCAATTACATTTAAATAGTAAAAATTCATCAAAAATATATAAAGAATGTAAATACAGTTCATAAGTATAGTGTTAGAAGGGTTTCATTTATATTATAAACAGGCCTTTTTGGACCACATATTTAGATGTTTAAATTATTTTAATCATAAATAATAGTAGCTTAATTATCTTAATTTGTCCGGCTGGAGTTGGCACTTTATTTTGAATTATAAGTTATAAGTCCCTGTTCACATTTTATTTTGTGGAGTACTTTAAAATGGCAACGTTAGCTGTTCAAAATAAACAAACTAAACTAAGATTGCCAATTTTTGGTTTTTGAATTAAAAGTTGTCATTTAGATCAATGAAATAATCAGAAAAAGATTATTGATTGTGGCAATTCTACACAGCTGTGGTTCTCAACATTTACCGTTTGTTAATGTTCACTAAAAACAAATGGCTCCGATCTGCCGAGTGAGATGTTCAGAACACTTGCGAGGTGTTTTTAAAAACATTTTCTGAAATGAAAACCATTGAGTCAGCTGTGACATCATGAGATGTTACGTAAATGATGACAAATGAGTGAAACAAAGAGTAGAAACCTGCTGCTGCAGATGTTCTTTCTCTCACTGAAGTTACAATATGAGGGTTTAAGAATGAGAAAGAGCAGAAAATCATTGGTTCAACACTAATCCATTTTTGTTTACAGTGAACAAGAGAAACACAAGTAAAGAACTGTATTTTACTGCTGAAAGAAGAAGACGCCGCTGGAGCATTTGCAAACAAATGGAACATAAAAGGAAGTAAAAATAAGGTCCCAAGTAGGAGCATTATGTTAGTGCTCAGACAGCGAGCGTCATGAATGTAACGGAGTATGATAACATATCTGATGTGATGAACACCCCCGCGTTGGACGCTGACATGGTTGTGCCTCAGACTGCTTGAGTCTAGTCTCAGGTGATGCAGTAAAAACAAGAGCCAGGTCAGTGACGGTACCTGCATGGTACTGGTGAGAAATACTCACGCAGGCTGTCTGTTATAAAAGCATGCTGCCTTTAAGCCCAACTGAAACGAAGCACTCCTTCACACACGCAGGCCTGTAAACATACATGACTTTTCAAAGTTGAAAACTTTCCATGGCAACTAACAAGAATGCATGGGATTTAACAGGAATAAAGCTGGAGGTTGGTCCTTAAAGTGGATTTTAAATAGCGTTGGAAAAATACATTATAGCATAACCTTGGCAAAAACTACAAAACTTCATTAGTGCATGATGCAATAAGAGCTGCCGCATCAGACAAATGATCAACGGTCACCTGAGCATGTAGGGACAGATGTGAATAGTAACGTGTGCAGCTACAGCGTGCGCTCTCAGTGGCTGAACTTGGCAAAAGGGCCTGGTCTTCCTCCGCTCCTGTAACCTGGAACACCTTGCAACAAGATCCGACGCCGTCCTCTTTGACCTCTCCGAGGGCTTTTAAACAAGGTCAGTGCAAAAATCAATGCAATGTTTTTAGTGTTTTACCCCGTTTCATAACGCAGCTTCATTTTATTTTGTTTT